CCAAGCATCAGTCACTATCCTCCCTTGTGTTTATCCATATGTTGTAGTTATCCTAATCATTATAGGATTAGGATAATCATCCCCTTTATTGTTGTAATCCTTATCTCCTAAGGAATATGCTTATTCTCTTGTATGTATATATATGTATGTGCACGTGATGAATAAGATATACAAGTTACAACCTTTTATTTCACAACAATTTCTTTTATTTTTTAAATATAACAGAGAAACTATTATTGATATTTACGATCATGAGAGTTTCCTATTCCTACTATGATTTGATATTTTATCTAATGCACCTTTATCTAGCTAACTTAGGATTATTATATGTTGTATATATACTCACCTCAATGTATGCATAACGACACATTCACATAATATTTCACAAATCCCTGCATAAACATCCATATTAACCCTCACGCTTTACCATTGAATCACCATCCAAAGATGAAGAACGTCACACTTGTTATTGCTATGATATCGATCATGTTCTCAAGCTGTGTAACATCCAAACTCACAGCAACAGAACTAGAGTCATCAACTAACCAAGAGCTCTTCCTATCGCGCGTACACCTCAAGCCACACCTCAAGCCACATTGGCTGTACCGTGGCCCCGGAAAAAGATTCCCGCCAGGCCACTTTCTACCAACTCTGTTTTATCTGACACAGGAAGTCACCAATGCTTGTCGACAAGGAGGACGCATCTACATGTTTTGATGATATCGCTATGACTTTCTTCACCGGAGAAGTTGTTATTGGATCGGAATGTTGCGAGGTGATCAAGAAGATGAACTCAGATTGTGAGAAGACTGTCTTTGGATCTTTCCGTAGCCCCATCTTGGCCGGCTATGTCAAGCTACACTGCTCCACTGTCGTTGGATCTACTTCACAGGATCCTTCACTTGTTCCTTCACAGGCTCCTTTACATGCTGCTTCACAGCCTCCGTCACCAGCTCCTTTACATGCTCCGTCACCAGCTCCTTTACATGCTCCTTCACATGCTGCTTCACCGGCTCCTTTACATGCTCCTTCACCGACTCTTTCACCGGCTCCTTCACCGACTCTTTCACCGGCTCCTTTACATGCTCCTTCACATGCTGCTTCACCGGCTCCTTTACATGCTCCTTCACCGACTCTTTCACCGGCTCCTTCACCGACTCTTTCACCGGCTCCTTTACATGCTCCTTCACTGACTCCTTCACAGGCTCCTTCACCGACTCAGGGATTTTAGCTATTTAATTATTTAAGTGTTGATTTTCTAGGGAGTTTTAATTTTCTTCTTGTTTTTAAATTTAGTCTTTATTTTTATTTTTAGAAGACGTGTTTGGATTCTAACTTCACTTTGATTTTTCTGTTCTCAATTTTTTTCTTCTACAAATTAAATTTAGTGTTTACGTATTTAGTTATCTTTATCATAATAAAAAATTATTACCCAATTTTCTGATGTTATCTTACGAGCTTACGGGATAAAAAGATAAACTAAGTTACTACGTTTATTAACCTTACATGCAAGTGTTGATGAACAAGTAACAAAAAACACAAACTGTTTCAGTAGCTAATAACGAAAACACATTATTAAATAAATCAGTCTCAGCATGTTTATAAATATTCAGTTAATTAACAGATACCATTCGTCTTCTTCCTGTCAGAAACAAACTTTCTCCAGCCCTTGATGACCTCTCTATGCTTCTCCATAACGTTTTTTTTCATCGTCACCATCAAGTTATCACCGTTGGCTTCACTCTTCTCCTCTCCTAGCGAAATCTTGTGGATAACTCGCGAAGGAAGCTCATCGAGCTCATGCATCATTTTCTCGACATCGATCACAAGTCTCTCAGCAAATGTCGTCGAATTTTTTTCACTCATGACTACTCGAAGAGCAGTTATGTGTTGTGCCTTTGGAGACATTGTATATGCAGGCACAATCCATCCGTAGTAATTAAATTATAAATTAGGTTTTTTGTCCGTACATAATAACATAATAATTTTACAAATATTTTAAAATAATACATTAAAAGTTGAAATGAATTAATGTTCATATAGTCAAAATATTTAATGAAAATTAAACAATAAACTCTTTACATATACAAGTTTTTTTTATCGTAAAGTAAATACTTTGTAACACGTAACATAAATTTAAAAACACTAACGTTTTGAAATATTTAGTAATAAATTAAATATTAAGTTTATTACATATGAACAAATTTATCAATATATTAAAATTATCTTTTGTTTCAAAAAATAAATTTGAAAACATTAATATATGTATTAATATTATATACAATATATATAGAGATTTATCTTTTATAGTTTAAAACTTTTCAAAAAATCTAATGTAGATTATTTTTTTGAATAATACAACATAAACTATTTTTATACAAGGATGATTATCAAATCAATAAAATTTGTTTTTAATTTATGGTTAATTATATATTAACAAATATAATTGTTCATTAACGTTAATAAAGACTTTATAACATAATATAAATTATTGCTAGATAATATAAATTATTAAATCAATGAAATTTATTTTTAATTATTGGCCAATTATATATTAATTTGCTTTTAGTTTATGGTTAATCAGTATAAACTATTTTTAGATAATGATAATCATCCAATCAATAAAATCTGTTTTTAATTGAGATTAGTAATATATTAAATCGTTTTTAATTTATAGTTATTATAAATTAATAATTCTAATTATTTATTCAGAGTAATAATTAATCATTAGTTAAAATCATAAAATATGATACATAAGTAAAATTATCTAAAATTATGGAGAAAATGACAACCAAACAAATTTACTTTTCAAATAATAATAGAGATATTTGTATCAAAACCACATTTTATCATACATATATCTAACCTTTCAAATGTCTATTATTGTCTAGTTACTTATTTACTCTAGAATTCATGAAATATAACACAATATGAAAGCTTCTAGATAACAATTACTTGTTAATTGTTATACTTTTTGAGTCAATTAGGTTTCATACAGTGACTGGGATTTTTTGAATAATATATGACAACTTGGTCTTTTCTCCAGAAAATAAACTATTTGATAACTTCAATGAACATAAGAAAAAAAATTAGAACAGGAAAAACTATTGGTGATATTACCCTTTGACACGAAAGCCAACAATTACCGAAAGTCATATTACGATCTTTCTTGTATTTATCGAAATCCTTACAAACGTAATTAGAGTTAGTATACCAAATGCATGATTATTATAATTAGAATATTCCATTTTTTATTTATCGAATAATTAATATTTTGTTGTATATATCAAAATATACCAGTTCATATGATTAACTAACAAATAATATTTTACGAAGTCCCATATACTCAGCCGGCCCTTCACGTCGCCATATAGTTTTTTTTTTGTTTTTTGAACAAAGTCGTCATATCGTTTAAATAGGAAAGTAAGTGAGGGGAGAATGATTATTATATTTTTTACAGTGATCTACCGTAGATCATCTAAGTTTAATATAAATCTCAAGGATGATGACTGTTTTATGGATGGGTCACTGACATCACATTGCCGTACAGGTTTTAGTTTAGGATTACGGCTTAGGAAACGATATGAGTCATCTTGATTAGTTAATCCATATCTTTCTTTTTTTTTGGCTAGGAAATCCTCTGTGTTAAGAACAAACTCAATAGAAACATAACCAGATTCAATCCATTGTGTTAAGAATGGTAGCAAATGACAAGGAAAACCTGATGATGGTGATTTAGCTGCAGGTTTTTACAAGAGCACAGAAGAGCAAAGGATTGAATCTGGCTATGTTTCTATTGAGATGAACAAAGATTAATAAAACCGTAGATAATGCTTCAAATCCAATGTGCTAATCCAATTCAAAACTAAAAGATAAGCAAGGAACATATATTAATAAGCCATTTAAGGATTTAGCAAAACTAGGTTTTTTCTGATTTGGCTTTCTGAATTAGTGGTTATGTGAAGTCTTGACCTCAGATTAAGCTCGGTTGTGAGTTTTCCGATCACAAATCAAGTACCAAGACACGAATTAAGAACCAAGACACTTGATTTGTTGATCTTGTGATCAACACACTTCTCCTTTAACTAGGAAAAGCCAACTGGAGCAGGGATTGAACCAGCAATCACTTTACTTAGCGACTCATAAGCTTGAACCATCGTCTGTTACAAGATAACTTTGGCTCTTTCTACTCGTCTCTTCTCTTGACTGTTACAACAACATAATCAGCTCAAGATGAAGTCGACTTTATCCTAAGAGTTAAACCGACCTTATAAACTGAATCGGTTAACTCTAACCATACACACAAACCACACTTGATTTAATATAATAGAGAGAACCGGTATAGTGAACTTAATTACAAATTTAAGTGGACTAAACCAAGTTCTAATCAACCTATCTAAACCGATAAACTCTAATCTTGTCTTCAATCTTCAAATCTCCACCTTAGACAAGATTCCTTCCTTACTCATTATAAACCTTATTAATGAATATCATACCTGAACTACTCTTCACCAAGTCACTCTATTCTTATGTATTTGACCAAACTATTGCAGCTTTTACTGGATGCAAACACACTTCTTCTTATGCTTCTCTGAACTTAAAACACTGGTAATACCTTAGTAAAAATATCAGCTGGATTGTAAGCAGTAGCAAATCTTTAAGACCTGAGCTTCTCCTGCACTTATCAAATCACGAATGAAGTGGTATTTTGTTGTTTATATCTTCTGTTTATTTGAGAACCCCTATAATGTATTTTGATAATTTTATTTTGAGAATCCCCACTGGATTGCTCTCAAGGCTTGAACAAAAAGTACAGTTCAAAGAGACAAGAAGGCCCCACACATCCTCTTCGTTGTACATATCACAAAGAAAACTTTGATATTGGTCGGTAATGAAGATGTATATTCTGTGTCAGTTCGTGAAGTACTACAGGAGGTAGTACATGCGTGTATCATGAAGTTGGGCTAAGTTGGAGTTCGTGTTTTGTGATGTCCGTGGGCTTGTTAAGCTTGGAGAAGAGGTAATATAGTTATTGGAATATTTACATTAAGTGTAAATGATATTACTTGAAGAGGAAAAGGCAAGAGAGTTATTCCTTAAGAGAAAAAGGAAAGTTGCTTAAGTTGCTTTTGGAAGAACTTGAGGAGCAAGTTCTTGGTATCTATACAAGGAGGACGTGCCTCCATTGAGAAAGGTGTCTCTGCTAACAATAAGAAAAGTTGAGAGATCGTTTTGGTGTTGCTTGTGTGATCAAGCCTTTGGTGTCATTGCTGTGCGTTAGTTGCTGACGTAGTCGTTGACGTACTTCCGGAGTTCTGGAAGATTGAAGCCTAGACTCAGG